TATAGATTGTGCTAGAATCTGCTTCCCTGGATGGATTTCAGCTCAAAAATTATTTACTCTCTGTCCTGGCTATTGGTAGAAACAGGAATTTAGAGCAATCTGCCTGATTCCTATTTTGTATCATGTTTCTTATGAGGTTGAGGAAAACAGAGGTGGCAAAACACACAAATGGGGATAATTAGAGAAAAACAAAGAGAGAAAATGATTATTATCTTATTATCTTAGTAGTAGTAGTAGTAGTAGTAGTAGTAGTAGTAGCAGCAGCAGCAGCAGCAGCATTCTGCTTTCCACTATGGATGAATGAGTGGTTCCATGAGTGGGGAAGTTCAGAGATACATTTTTTCTGATTATGCGTATTTGTGTGCACACGCATGCAAGTGTATATATGTTCATGACAGTTCTAGGCTATGCTGGAGAAAAATTCTGCTGATTTCATCCTGGTTTCATGACATTTGCAGGAGCTAATTCCAAAAGCCTTCTGAAGTGACTCATTTAATATCAGAGCCCATAAGTTAATCCACATTCCAGAGGGAAAGAAAGAACCTTAAAGCAATATTCTTGAATTGTAGGGCCTGGCAAACTACATGGCTTCTGATATCAAGCTAAACTAGGATGAAATGTATGAGATGGAAGAAATTGTATAGGAAAGCCAACAAAATTAACCAAAGGCTGCAACTGAACAAAAACAGTCTAGATTTTAACTAACACTCCTCTTCTCCTCCATTTGCACCAACTGGCCAGAGTATTCTGCAAACACTCTGCAGAACAGATGCTTTCCAGGCAAATAGCTTCCAGTGTCTCTAGCAGGAGAATCAGATCACATATATTGGGAACAGCAACAGTGCTACTGCCAATCAATTTAACCTAGAGTTTAATCTAAAGGACCTTTCCTTCCAAGTATGGCAGTCAATCTGGTATCAAGAAGGAAACCCTATCAGACACAAATATTTATCCACAGAAAGCATTTCTGTATAGAAAGAATAACAAACCCTCATTTGGTTTCAACAAGAGTCATGTAACCAGAAATATAGATGCTTCTGAAAAAGAATGGCGTATGGTTTTCTGAAAGCAACAGTATCTGCTTTTAATCATGCATACTTGGTCATTTGTATCACTCCCTCCTTTACCCTCCTTCTGGAGGATTATATTAAGCTATACCAACTTCTAGACAAGTATATATTATGTGATGTCAACATCTTTCTATTTTCCTAATTATTCTCTTCTTCCTTCCCTGCAGGCCCTCAATGCAATGCCTTAGAGGATCTAATTGGGACATGTTGGCCACGCAGCCTTGCAGGACAGTTGGTGGCACGCCCCTGCCCTGAGTATTTCTTTGGAGTGCGATACAATACTACAAGTAAGCCAGTAGATGGGTTGAGTAGGAGCGTAAGGTAGGAAGGGAGGTTCTTTCCTTAGCCACACTGAACCAAAGCCTGAAGCAAATGTTAAGGAAAGATGGATCCAGAATACGAGGGAGTATAGGAATGTCAACGTGTATACTGTACTTGCATGAGGGATTGAATCAGAAATCTGCATAATCTTGGGATGCTTGCCATGACATGCCATGACAACAGGCCCTATGTCTGGAGGCTGAGTCATGGCAACTGGACTTTTTTTCTTTTGGTTTGATACATACGTATCAAACCAAAAGAAAAGTCCAGTTGCCATGACTCAACCACCAGACAATTCCACCTGGATAACTGAGAATCTTCATCAACAGGCCCTATGATTGGCAGGTAGGATTAAGCTACTGGATTAAGCTTCTAGATTAAGCATACCTGATACAAAAGCTAGAGATATTTAGAAGTTTTTCCCTTCTGTTCACTGTATTTGAAACTGTGAGTAAAGCTCTGCACCTATATTCAACTCTACCAACTGTTCCAAGAGATTCTGGGTTAGATAACCATAGTGCAGCTCTGAATTTGGATACAACCAGCTACAACTTTAACTGATTCTTCTTTATTTCTGAATAGACCACTGCTTCATATGTACATATGAAAAATCTCAGAAAGATTTATTTCTGAAAT